CGACTGTGTGTTGTGGACTCTGTGGTTGGACTCTGTTTGTGGAACTCTGTGTGTTTGGGTATCTTCCTGTTTTGTGTGATGATTGCGAAGAAGCTCTTGTGTGTGTACATAATAGGTTCTACAACCTTTTTGACTTCTTCATCCACATATGAAACACATTGAATTATTCAGCCATCAATGGCACCAAGGATTCTATAATGCACACTACAACTGCACGTGCTCATACACACACTGTAACATCATCTGACTACTTACACTGTGATTACTACTATCTGATATCAACATTCACACTTTGATCTCATCATTCTTCTTCTCACAACTGACACAAGTATATTTGTTTTTTTTTACTCTTCACAACACACACTGACACAAGTGCACCAACTGGTTGTACACTTTTCAACACCAGCTTTTTTTATTAGCAATTCTTATTTTTGATTTCTCCACACACCACACTGACACACACACACTGATACACACACACTGACACACACACACTGATTATTATAGACAGACAGGATTCAGTATCTTCCCTCATTTGAGTAAATGTTACTTTCCACTTTCAGAGAATCAATGAAGACTTCATCATGGAGACGTCACACACACAGTAAACCACACAAACAGAGACAGTAACACACTGTGTGTCTCGCTCCTCCCTCCACACACACACAGCTCTGTCACAGAGTCATACTGTTGTCGTCTAACTGGACAGTAAACACACACACACAGTCACAGGATGGCCACCGCGTCGCCTCGCCGATGTCCAACGCCTCAGACCTTCATCATCGTCCTCTTCGTCCTGTCAGGTGAGACACAAACTGCTGACATCACAACACCAGGAAACACCAGCAGGAAGTATTCAGATTGTTTCCTGCAGTAAATATACTAATATCACACCTAAAAAAATAGTCTGTTACAAGTATTGAAAATAAATGTTTGTATATGAGTAAAATGTAGTTAAAGTGCTCTGACTGTAATATTTCTCAGATGTAGACAGTAGAATTGTACTTGTGTTACTGAGTTTTAAGCCTCAGCGTACAGTTTGTTTCTGTGCTGCAGGTGGACACCTGTCGTCTGTTTCCTGTTTTAAAGTGGCGGAGGGGGGCGTGGCCTCTCTGTCCTGTCACTACTCAGTGAAGCGTTACGGTCTGAGCCGGGTCTGCTGGGGTCGCGGCTGCGGGACCTTCTGGTGCAACAACATCCTGGTGCAGACGGACGAGAACGGCGTCATCTCCAAGGTCAGGTTGGGAAAAGTTTTTAATTTAGTTTTTTCTTCTCTTTCTTTATCACTTCATGAATGCTGCACGCTACGCAGTTTCTAAACACACACAGCACCCAGACACAGTTCATTAATGTGTACCATTAAAATAAAATGAAAATAAAATGAAAATAAAATGAAAATAAAATGAAAATAAAATGAAATGGTTCTGGCTAACCCTGACCCTGGTGCTGCAGGTGGCAGACCGGTACCGGCTGAATGGGGACGTCCTGGACGGACAGATGGACCTGGACATCCTGAATGTGAGGCGGACAGACAGCGGGCCGTACTGCTGCAGGGTGGACATCGACGGGATGTTCAACGACAAGAAGGTGATCATGAACCTGAGAGTAGTCAAAGGTGAGACACACTGATTACATGTCTACATGGGCAGTTGACTGGCAACACAAATGGGGGCTCGTCCAGGTCCTTTTCCCTGAACAATGGTTGAGTTACTGTAGTTGTGTCAGTGGGTATAACAATGATTTTTAAACAATAACACTTTATTGATAATAAGGCATTGGAATAATTGAGTTAAAGGTTCTGCTTTGCACATAACAACACTGAAGGAACTTAGCACACAAAATACCCACAAATAGGCTACTTTTCACACTATCTCTATGATCTGAGGACATTTTGGCATCTCAAATTATAACCTTGACTTGTAATTTATTTCATTCCAATGTCAGAGCAAACATCAATCAAACTCTGTATTTTTAGCAGGAAAGATGGAAAATTATTTGATTCCCAGAACAAAAAGCTATGAAATTCTCTAAATTGAGTGAAAATATTTTAACAGAATAATTTTGTTTTGTTGTCAAATAACATTTACATAAAAAAGAACACAACATAAATTCAACCAATTCCACACAAACTCACTTCCTTTGTTTCTAGCTGTGAAGCTGTAGACTTGCGCAACACAAACGTCCGTAACATCAGTAGACACAATATTTTCGCCATATATTCCATTCAGATGTTAGAGCCCTTCAAATTTGACACAAACGCTGTATTTTTAGCAGGAAATGTGTAAAAACACCTATTTTAATAGGATTTACATAAAACCTCTATCTTTTATTCTTTGATTGTATGTTTGATGATTTTAATGTAAACGGTTATTGGTATCTGGTAATCTGACCGTAGTTTGATCTGGTTTCAGCTCCGGTCACCAGTTCACCTCCAACCACAACAACAGCAACAACCAATCGAGTGACGGAGCCGTTCACCTCCACAGGTGAGACCACGTCCAGGTCCGGTGTACCTGGTATCAGCTGGTTCTGTCGACTGGGTTTACTGGTGCAACTCTGAGTGAGTTCATGTGTCTGTCTCTGTGTAGTAAACTGGAAATCTCTGCTGTCGTCTCAACTGGACCTTCTGAGGAGGAACTCCACCCGGCTGCTGTCCGACACCGTCACTGTGAGTAACAGGAAACAGCTGACCTGGTTTCAGGTATCTCCAGGTGTTCTTAATGGTATTTTAGAGTTTCCTGATAATCAATAAAAGTAATTATTTTAATAATTTGATGAGTCCAATCAAACGCTTTCTCTCTTCTGACGCCGCCGGAGCGAAGTGTTTCTGAGGGCCGTTACAGACAATCTATGACCTCACTGAGTACAAAGACCTACTTTATAGCTACATTAGCTAGGTAGCTAGTTAGCTAGCTTGTTGCTCTGTAGCTAGGTAACTAGCAAGTTAATTTACGCCACTTATTAGCGAGCTATTTACATCTAAAAGTTAAAACAATTGATAGCTAGCATTGAGTCAACAATAGCTTTCAGATGTAACTAGCTATCTACATCTGATGTCAATTAGCTAGTTAGTTAGCTTTCAGATGAATTACTTACTAAAGGTTGTGACCTTTATGCTCCTGAGTGCCTTCTCTCATCCAACAGAGTCCAACACAGAGTCCACCACACAGAGTCCACCACATCCCCTTGACTTCCTGTTCCTTAACAGGAACACAAAACAACTTTCCCTGTTTCATTTCAAAAAGCTTTGGCGACCCTAGTGGCGCTCCCTCCCCTCTACCCTCATGTTTTGGGAACCAATGATCGGCTTTCACTGTGAGTCCCAATGTACTACATATTCTGACACTAGTTCGTTCATTTAAAAAGCAATAAATACCAATGAATAAAAAAACTAAACATTTTAAAACAATAAAGAACCTAAAAAAGCTGAAATAAAAACTAATGTAATCGGTAAAAATACTTTCCTGTTGGTTTCACAGATAATTTCTGTGTAACCATACCAGGATGAAAAAAGAAAAGTGGGCTGGGATGTTATTTTTACAATCACTGCTTGACGGCAACCGGACCCCCGATGTTGTCGAAAGATTGATTCGATTTCACCACCTGGAAATAAACCATAAACCAAGCAGCCAAACACATCTGTCTTATAGATAAACGTGTGTGTGTGCCTTTTATTTAATGGTAATGTGAAAGGTTCTAATGTGCACTCTTTCCTCTGTTAAATCCAGTTTTAGTTTTGGTGGTCCCGCAGGTGTGAACCGGGCCTTCCCCTAGGTCCCAGGGTGTAGATGTTCTCCTGCAACGTGGTCTTTCGCTCCATCCGGATCTCATAGATGCAGTGTGAGGAGGGTTCTTCCAGCAAGGAGAAACTGGAGGAGAAGAATAACAGACGCCGTCAGCATACACGTGGGACCAACAGAGTTCTTATACCAATACCTGGTTTTCAGTTAACGACAACAGAGAACCTGGCACCAAAGAACCTCAGTTTCTGTCTCCTTACAGTGAATCCTCCGTCTCAAGCTTCGCTGAATGACAGATAAAACTGAAAAATCATATACACCCAATCCTTGAAAAATACTGAGCGAGACGGCCTCCTCAAAAGTCACCAATAGTTCACTTCAATGCCAGTTTAATAGATGTGTTTCCTAATACGCCGCAACCTTGGATTTGAAGGGAGCCCGTGATGAGAGTGCACTTGTGGGATGAGTTAGGAACCTGTAACTACTTCAACAAAATCCCAGATCCCAAGGGATGGGCGGTGTTGTCCTTTGTGCTTTGATAGCTCCACCAGCCGCTTCTTCAAAGGCTCTTCTGTATATTCCACCTGCAGACAGAAAATAAGGTGTTTTAATTAGAAACATTTGTAAACGTACAGTTAAAATCGTCTGTAGTTGGTTAGCGTCCTGTGGTTGTTGAAAGTTACGACGCTAAAGCCAGACAAAGAGAAAAACCTGTGGCCAAGATCAGCAACACCGCTGAGAGAGAGCCGAGAAGGACGGAAACATTGGATCCTGACAGGGAGGAGAGAGGAGTAGAAGAGTCCTCCACCTTGACACACCAGGAGGAGAGAGACATTAGCCAGAGGCAAGCATAGCGACAGTGTCCTTTGCTAAGTTAGCAGCAAGCTAACGCTTTATCAGCTAACAGCACAATCAGACAATATGTCCAGACTAGCCTAGCATTAACATGTTACGTTAGCATTAATGTTAAGCTTTGGAACTTTTGGAACTGCTGTGTTGAGACGTGTTTGGACTCTGTGTTGGACTCTGTGTTTGTGGCACTCTGTGTTGGACTCTGTATGTATGGACTCGTGTGTCTGTGGCACTCTGCTGTATGGACCTCTGTGTCTGGCTTCTGTGTGTGGAACCCTCAATGGTGTTGAGCTCTGTGACTTCCTGTGGTTGTGGACACCTGTGTTTGGACTCTGTGTGTTGACTCTGTGTTGGACTTCCGCTGTGGGTGGACTCTGTGTTGGACTCTGTGTTGTGGACTTCTGTGTGTCGGACTCTGTGGTTTTGGACTCTGTAGTTTCTGTGAGCACTGTGTTGGACTCTGTTGTTGGACTCCCCCGCCTG